CGGCGCCTGTACTCGCTCTGGGCTCACCGTGTGGGCTCTTAGTCTGTCTGTTGGCCAACCGGGGTCAGTGGGAGGCCCTTCGCCTTGGGTCACTTACTGGCTGCCAACACCGAGCTGGAGCAGTTGGCTGGTGGTGTTTGTGTAGATCGGTTGAACGGTTCCCCGCAAAGAACTCGACCTGCGGTTAGTTGGTTTTATCTCTTCCTGAGCTGAGACAGTGGTGTAACTCGGAAATACATAGCCAGTGAATACAGGTTTTGGATGTCAAGTTGTGGTTTATGATATCGTGGGAAATTACTGTGTTATACCTCTTGCAGGGAGTATATAAGAGGAAGAGTTCAGTGGAATCAAGTGCAGTGCATTGTTGACAACTTTGACAGTCGGGCTGTGTTGTGCATCGACGTCAGAAAATGAGCTTGACTTATTGAGAGAAAATTATCATACACGAACAAGGTTAAAATATAAAATTGTGGATAGTTAAAAGGGATTCCCGACTTCAAGATTGTAAATAGAGAGATTTTAGAGTGTGGGTAAGCGTGACACAGTGAAAACGAAGGACGTGTGGAGGTCGAGGCGGCGCTGGGCACAAGCAGCCGCCATGGAAATCTTTGACTGCGTCGACTGTTTCCAGAGCAGACCAAGGCTCCGGGTCCGGCAGCCCCGGCCACCCAGTGGTAAGTATCTCCTCCTGACCTCTTCATTGTTGTTGTTAACCAGCTCACCAGTGGGGGCACCCTGCTCCACTAGCCAGGTACTGGGGAGGTTAATTTTCTTGCAGGTAACCTATTTGTTAATATTCCTTGTACATTGGGATATAAAGTTTAATGTGGTACATTTTAGTATGCGCTTTAATGTATGTTGTTTACAGTATCCTGCATTACACCACGTAAATAGAATGACAATCAAACACACCAGGAAGACTTGTGTGGTGAGATGTTGCTTTAATGATGTCATTCTTCACATTCAGAGTTTTCTTAGAGGGTAAAAGAAAATCATTTATGTACATAGTGTAGTTTTTATTATAAATTTGCATTCATTTATTTATATTTTTTTGCGAAGGAGGAATAAAATAATTAAATATTATTGGCAAAGTTGTGACTTGTGAGTGAATTATTGGATCAAGCAGACGTTGATGATAAAAAGTTTGATGATGGGGAGGATGTAAAAGGGAATAAACATAAATAACGACAAGTATGTAAGGGTAAAAGTGAGATGATTGAGAGAGTTGCACCGTGAAGGGGGTAACGCCAGAGTACTTGTTAATATGGAGTACATGTGGTGATGCAGTGCGTGTGTATGTATTCCTGATTCACCTGACACCCTCACCTACACCCTCCCTTATCCCTCTTACCTTCACTCGCCCCATACCCTCCCCTACCCCCCGTGCCTTCACGCATCCCCCCTCTCCTCCCACTCACCCACTCTTCCCCTCTTGCATACTCTTACACTCTCTTTTCTCCCATCCCCCACCTTACTCACCCACACCCTCTTGTCCCCCATCCCCCCACCTTACTCTTCCACTCTCTCTTCCCCCATCCCCACCTTGCTCACCCCACACTCTCTTGTCCCCCCCATCCCCACACCGACACCACCCACACCCTCTTGTCCCCCCATCCCCCCACCTTACTCACCCACACTCTCTTGTCCCCATCCCCCCACCCTTACTCACCCCACACCTCTTGTCCCCCCCATCCCCCCACCTTACTCACCCACCTCTCTTCCCCCATCCCCACCTTACTCCACCACACACTCTCTTGTCCCCCCCATCCCCACCCGACACCACCCACCCTCTTGTCCCCCCATCCCCCACCTTGCCTCACCCACACTCTCTTGTCCCCCCATCCCCCCACCTTACTCACCCACACTCTCTTGTCCCCCATCCCCCACCTTACTCACCACTCTCTCTTCCCCCATCCCCTGTACTCACCCACACACTCTCTTGTCCCCCCCCCATCCCCCCACCTTACTCACCCCACACCCTCTTGTCCCCATCCCCCCACCTTACTCACCCCACTCTCTTGTCCCCTGACCCTTGACACACCACCCCACCTCTTGTCCCCATCCCCCACCTTACTCACCCACACCCTCTTTCCCGTCCCCCATCCCCCACCTTACTCACCCACACTCTCTTGTCCCCATACACCTTACTCACCACACTCTTGTCCCCCATCCCCCCCACCTTACTCACCCACACTCTCTTGTCCCCATCCCCATACTCCACCCACCTCTCTTCCCCCATCCCCCACCGACACCACCACACCCTCTTGTCCCCATCCCCCACCTTGCTCCTCCACCCTCTTGTCCCCCCATCCCCCACCTTACTCACCCACTCTTGTCTACTTACACCACCCACACTCTCTTGTCCCTGTCCCCACCTTACTCACCCACACCCTCTTGTCCCCCATCCCCACCTTACTCCTGCCCACACTCTCTTGTCCCCCCATCCCCCCACCTTACTCACCCACCTCTCTTGTCCCCCATCCCCACCTTACTCCTTACACTCTTTTCCCCATCACTTACTCCACCCCACACTCTCTTGTCCCCCCATCCCCCCCACCTTACTCACTCGTCCCCCATCCCCCACCTTACTCACCCCACACTCTCTTGTTCCCCATCCCCCACCTTACTCACCCACACTCTTGTCCCCCCATCCACCCACCTTACTCACCCCACACTCTTGTCCCCCCCATCCCCCCACCTTACTCACCCACACTCTCTCTCTTATTCCCATCCTCCCCCTTACTCACCCACACTCTCTTGTCCCCCCCATCCCCCCACCTTACTCACCCACACTCTCTTGTCCCCCCACATCCCCACATACTCACCCACACTCTCCTTGTCCCCCATCCCCCCACCTTGCCTCACCCCACACACTCTCTTGTCCCCCATCCCCCACCTTCCTCTCTTGTCCTCCTCACCTTACTCACCCATACTCTCTTGTCCCCATCCCCCCACCTTACTCACCCACACTCTCTGTCCCCATCCCCACCTTACTCACCTCTTGTCCCCCATCCCCCACCTTACTCCCCACACTCTCTTGTGCCATCCCCACCTTACTCACCCCACACTCTCTTGTCCCCCATCCCCCTTACTCACCCCCTCTTGTCCCCCATCCCCCCCTGCCTCACACCTCCCTCTTGTCCCCCCCATCCCCCACCTTAGTCACCCATACTCTCTTGTCCCCCCATCCCCCACGTTACTCTCTTGTCCACATCCCCCCCACCCTTACTCACCCCACACTCTCTTGTCCCCATGCCTTACTCACCCCCTCCTCTTGTCCCCCCATCCCCCCCTTACTCACCCACACTCTCTTGTCCCCCCCATCCCCCACCTTACTCACCCACACACTCTCTTGTCCCCCATCTATACTCACCCTCTCTTGTCCCCCATCCCCCACCTTGTCACCCACACTCTCTTGTCCCCATCCCCCACCTTACTCACACATACTCTCTTGTCCCCCATCCCCCGTTACTCACCCCACACACTCTCTTGTCCCCATCCCCCCTTACTCACCCACCTCTCTTGTCCCCCACCCCCTTACTCACACACTCTCTTGTCCCCTGTCCCCCACCTTACTCACCCACTCTCTTGTCCCCCCATCCCCACCTTGCCTCACCCCACTCTCTTGTGTCCCCCATCCCCCACCTTACTCACCCCTCTCTTGTCCCCCCATCCCCCCTTACTCACCCACACTCTCTTGTCCCCCCATCCCCCCTGCCTCACCCCACACTCTTGTCCCCATCCTGCTTACTCACCCACACTCTCTTGTCCCCCATCCCCACATACTCACCCCACACTCTCTTGTCCCCCCATCCCCCACCTTACTCACCCTGCCTACTTCCTCCCTGAAGTGCTCCATTGGCAGCATCTCTCCCACCGATATTTTTTATTCCCCAACAAAATCTGCAGTGAAAAAAGTCATAACCTAACCTAACCTGCTTAGCTTAGGATAAGGGTATGGTTAAGGTAATGTTTAAGTCATGATTACGTTAACGTTTGGTTAGAGATTGATTTTACGATTTGTTTAGTAGAACAAGAGATAGTTTACAATATAACTGTGTGCATTTTTAATAGTGGTTATGTTTAGAGTTATGCTATTGCATTTTCCTCCTTGAAATTCTGTTGAGAAAAATGTCGCCTGTCCATACACCCACACTTTCTCCGCCACCCACCCACGTCAATACCCACTTCCCTGTCGTTGCTGTTACTTTTATAATTTTGACTACTCCTCGTTACTACTTTCCTGTCACTGCTACCTCCTACTTAGTGCTATTTCTTTGCCATCGGTATTTCCCTGTCACTTTTACTTCCCTGCCTTCCCCCTCCGAGCAGGGCTGGGCGGGTGTGCGCGTCACGGGCCAGGGGTCAGTGGGACGTTATAGAGTCGTATCGGGTGACTGAGGTCAAAAACTTGTCCCTCCCCACCCTTCCCTCCTCCCCCCCCACTCCCCTTCCTCCCTCTCTCCCCCCTCCCTCCCTAGCGCCTCTGTATACTCTACTGCCGCCACATGGGTACTGCTACCCATGTCATTGCCTAACCGCATTGGTAACACTGCATGCCACCACCATTGCCGAGAGAGAAATCTGTGTCTTTTTCTTTTTTATTTAAGCGGCAAATTCACATTTTCCGTCACATTGGTACCGCTGCGACCGTCACGATCGAGAGGTTGGTAACACTGCAGCCTTCTGCTTGACAGCAAGCTGGTAACATTCGCCCCACACTTTATTTAAGCTTGGTCGCAATCCTTCAATTATATCATTTAAGTGAGACTATTCCTATCCTTTTCACCCCTCCACCACTCTAGTTGTCAGGCTGCTCCCGTACGGTTGACTTGTTATAATACATTTGGCAACACGATCATTCAAGCTTTATATTCCGTGTGGTAACCGAACCCTCTTTACGGCTTTATTACTCGGTCTAGTCAGATGATATTTGATGGTGTGTTTTTTATGTCTGAAGGTGAAGTGCCAAGGAGGGTACTGGTCTCTATACTGTAAAGATGTCGGATGGCGAAAATAAGGTACAAGTTAAATAGCAAGGCCACGGTGTAGTGTTGCTAGGTGACGTAATCTCTTTCACATGTTTTGCCAGCCTTTGGGGGAGTACAAAAAAATCCATAAGTCGGGCATTGGAGTTTTCGACGTGATTTTTTTTTATCAGCCTGGCGTGGGGTTGCTTTGTTCTCGTTGAGAGCGAACGACCTTAAACTGTGACCACACAACCATTGGGCTTGTTTGCTTTGGTGATTGCGCGATTTATTTCGATTCGAGCGCATGTTTCCATTATCTGTGACTGGTTATTTGTGAATTTTGACGAGTGTTGTTATTTTTGCAACGAACTTGTTTAAAGATGTTTTGTGTCTTTGCCATGACAGATATAACCAACGGCTGCTCTTAGTGTTCATCTCCCAAGATTGGCGGGTCATCAGGGATAGAGCCAAGATTAAATACTGTGCAGTTTACGGCCAGGTTAAGATTATTAGTAGGAAAAATGATGTTCATTGAAAGGCTTGGGAATGGACCTAACACTCAAATCTCGCTAAGACGAATTTAAACATTACTTTTCACTTTGACCCATTGGTAGAACGACTTAAGTGGGGTTATTGAACTATTCTCTGTGCCAATTGTTTTGTGTAATGTTTACATTTTGTTAGTAATTGTGCAAAGTTTGGCCTTGAAGAGGTAAGTGTGGGCTCAAGTTAAATATTGGAATACCTGGGATACCAAGCCTCAAGTAGCGGAGAGATAGCCTCGCCACCTTTGTTTACACTACTGGAATTGGCGCCTATGTCAGTTTCCAGGTATAATCAATATTACAGATAAAAATGGGAACGTATTTTTTTACACGTAAAATAAACCAAGAATATCGTAGCAGGTAGTCAGTGAATTGTCGTGTAAATTATTTTTTATTTTACAATGTTGTAATTTTTTAGTGGCATGTATTGTTTCTTCTTTAGATCCCCGCCTCCGCATATACTAGATTCAACGTAGAACTCCTTAGACCAGAAGGTAAGTGAGTACAGTACACGTTGCCACCCACTGTCATGTCGTGCTTTTGTTTATAGCCAGAACCATCAAGTAAGATTGCGTTACTGTATCTGGAAGTGAGAAAAGTAAACCACATTAATACATATCGTCAGCTTTGATAGGTTTTGTTAGTTACAGTTTTGTTGTTTGATCTACTTACGATGTGCTGGCTTGAACAGAAGTCGTCGAACAGTTTGTTCGATCAATTTTTTTGTTTTGCAGGGTCTTTTCTGAGATTGGTGAGTGGATGTTGTGTTAAATGATGTTTTATAGTGCATATCATTATTCGAATTTTTTTTACATCCTAATTTTGGTTTGTTTTTGCACTTGAGTAAATTATCATAATTGTGTTTAATACATAAATTGTATAGTAATAGGTTTTAATCTAGCTTATAAGATATATTATAAACAGGCTACATGATTTATGTAAGTGAGGTTCTTAAGTACATTCCAAGTAGAGTGCTAATAAAGGTCAGGCTATGAAACAAGTGTGATATATGAAGACTTAGGTGAATACTGTGCAACAGGTGCGGAAATGTGTTCCTCCACCCCCTGTGGTAACCTGTCTCCAAACGGCACCGTCGCAGTAGTACTTTATGAATGAATGGAACGACGGACATTATTGGTGGATAGGTTTGCTATAGAGGTACAGTATATGTCATATAGGTTTGCCGTTTGGAAACGGTTGCAAGAGGGGTGTAGAAACATTTCACCAACTGTAGAATTATTATATTTTAATTAAGTGATTAATGTGATTTTTTTTAACAATCTATCATCAGTTAGAAAAGGATAATAATGGTGTTATTTCATGAAATATTCCACTACTAAGAAAACTCAGGAAGTTAGTTTGGTGAACTTACTCCTCCGGAGAAGTGTGTAATATTCAGTCGTAATACTTCATACCGAACCTAGGAAACTGTTAGGTAAGGTTAATACACAGTAATATAAAACTGTGTGATAATACTTTGTACTGAAATTTAGGAAAGTGTAAGGTAAGAGGACTATGTAACATTGTAGTAAAGGTTACTAACTGGGCCATTGTTGGGTTGGTTCTGTCAGATGCGGCGCCGAGCGAAGAAGTGGAGTGTTTGGTGGAGTCGCAGGAGACTGGAGGAACTCATCAGTACGCCACCTACTCCACCCACGGGACTGGTGAGTACACACTCAATACCTTTCCAAAATATAGGAGTCGACTGTACAAGCACCCCCTCCCCTCCCCCTGGTGCACAGCGACTCTGGGTGCCCATTTTTTGACGACAATTAAGATGTGCTAACCGACCCTAACCAAGGTGATCTAATTTAATCAGCCTAAATAATATAAAAAAGTAATGTGATGAGGATCAAACTCACCATGAATATATAATGAGAATTGCCAGTAGGAGGGATTGGTTAAGTGAGGAAAATGTAGCGTGGTCGCCTGTGTCAATAAGAATTTGGTCTTGGGAGATTTTCTAAACACAAGACTAAGTATATCTTATTTATTATATACTTAATAAACACGGTTAACTACTTCTCACGGGAAACATGCATAAGATCAATGCTGTGTCGTTACTGGAGAACAGATTACACTGGTTATGACCGACAATTTACCCCTAAACTTAAAACATCAAATAGGTTGCACTTCCCACTAGTTCCCTCCAGGACCATGACACTACACTGGATCAGACTTATTTGTACCCAGTGGGAGACCCAGCAAAATGGGGGCCTCAGGACCTGCTCTTGTTACTGCTCGCAGTAGGGCAGTGTGAATTGGTTTCTCAGTCACGGGCCCCGTACCGCCACAAATATGAAGGCAAGAAATGATTATCCCTTTGTGTGACGATCTGTGGCCCATTACGATGATATGTCCTAAGTTACTGTAGGCCCATAAATTGTGTACTCACTAGTTACTGATATATGTGTATTGTTTCTGTGGCTTGAACAGCATGGTCTGACAGAAAGTCATTATGGTAAACACAAACACTACTGTAATTTAATCTAAATTCAGATGGAGGATTGTACAGTTTGGTTAAAGCTCATAAGTGCGTTTTTTGCATACCGTATAAAATAGACTCAGTAATTCAGGATAGTGGAGGAGAAATGATCATTTCCTCTTTACATCAGTCAGATGTCCATTTAGTCAATGTCCAGGGTGAATCGCCGTCGTTGCTTATATGTCTGCACCTCGGTCATTATTTATTGGTGTAATACAGTTCTTTACCTTTGTTATCATTACTACTATTAAAATAAATAAATAAATATATATATATATATATATATATATATATATATATATATATATATATATATATAATCAACGACCTCACCAGCCAGGACTCGAACCCTCGACCTACTGTGTGGAACCAGGGAATGCTACTGACCATGCCACAATTATAAGATTATATGTTCAAAGTCCGCGAGTTATTTGGACTAAAAATGATATATATATATATATATATATATATATATATATATATATATATATATATATATATATATATATATATATATAAAACATCTTAACGTGTAATAACGAAGTCTGCTTATTCGAGACAAATCCAGGAAGTGTAAGGTATTTAATTTTACTGTTAAGATGCCACAAATTCGCCAAAATGCCGTAAATATCCTAAATATTTCCGGAGGTCCGGAGGAGGTGAGGTGAGGGGGGGAATGTCATTGCCCCGCTAGTCTAGTTCCGCGTCCTTGGTCTCCCACCAGTTGGTGCTTATACCCACTTGTCTTTGAATATAGACTTCCACCGTACCTTATCTTTGCTGTCACATGAAAATAAAAATGCTTACCACACTGAACACGAAACTTTAGCGCTAAAGTTTACACTATAAAGTTTTCGGGACATTGATCTATATGAACTTGATACTCGCAGGGACTGAAGAGTTGGGGGATACCTACTTGTCAGTTGTGGCCAGGGATCGCCGAAACTGTCTCATTGTGGGGTATCCTTCCAGTGGCAGATAGCCTCACTCTATTTTTCCCTCTGTGCAATTACATTCCCACGTGGGGGTTGCTAATATATATATAAATATTCAAATGGTAAATTTTAAGTAGATGAATCTTAAGCCGTATAGCCTGGTGGTTAAAGTTGGCAAAGCATGATGGGTCTCTGCGGGGAACTAACTCATCCTTACGTAACTGTGAAATACGACTGAAAGCAGTGTACCTTCACGACAGGTTTTAAACTCTGGAACGAGCATATGCTCAGAACCTGCGCAGTTTAGTTTTGGACAAGTTTTTCGCACGATCCCATGACCTGCGCGTCATAAATGGGTGGCATTGTAGATACTGATGGCTGTTCCTGGTTTACTAAGCTCAGCTCAGGATTCTTCAATTCCAAAACATAGGGGGGGTGGGGGTCAGGTGGTGCCCTTGACCGTCGTATTAAGCGGAAGGTCACGAGAGGTGCCCCTTGAACCGGCCTCCCTACGACAGACGTCAGGGAAACCCTTGGAGAGTGAGCACCGCTTTCGAAGATAATGTTGTTGCAACTTGTTCGCTTACTCTGTTTTCCTTATTTCATTACGTATTAGCCAGTATTCGAATGTTGTCAGCTCATTACACGTCGGAGGTAGATAAGGGTAGGGTGAGGGGAAGGGGTGCTGTGGGGGTTGGCTAGGTGAGCTGGGGTGAGGGCGCGCGTCAGCTGAACGAACACTTTCAGACACTATCACCAACGCCGCCAAAGATGACCACTACCGCCGCCTTCTTGTGGCGTTTTGGGTATCGTTCCGCTGAATACTTTCGCAGGATTTTAACGCTTGGAGAGAACTTTTAATACTTCCGTTTTCACATGAAAATATAAGCGTCAAAATCCAACAAAAAGTTGGTATGGTGGATTATATTTGGGAAGACATTTTAATTGTGGTAAACGGGAGTGTTTGATACTAAGCGGAGATGAGGTGGAGCCAGGGCGTCGTGGAGTCTGCCCGCCCACGCACACATGCGCCAAGTCACATACACCAAAATACGCTGTCTCTGTCTTACATTATTGCCTAATGCACCTTAATACAATGTGGCTTTAGGTCAGGTCTCGAAGGGGGAGAATGAATGGCCCTTCAGCTCACAGATGGAGCGCCTGTCTTGCCCTTGACTGTCTAACCTTATCACTGCGCGCCCTGGTCATCACCTAAGCTTGTTAATGTAAACACAAGCGTATCTCGTTTACGATAACTGTAAATACATTTTGCAAGTGTAAACAAAACGTTCAGCACGATGACGAGTAACCCCGTCTCGGATATAAACATTTATCTTATTGTCCGTGAACACGACCTGGTTAGTTTGAAATTGACGTCACACACTCATTTACAAATGCAGTCCCCATAACTGTCCTCTTCACCGCGTCACGTCGTTGTGCTGAATGGATTAAGAAGTAGGAGTCCTGGATTTTTTCATCGAATTCAAGAGGATATCTCATCTTACAGGCTGTCATCTTATTCAATATACAATGTTGTGTTGTGGTTTCTGTGGGATCCGGAGAAAAGTCCCCCAGACTAAAGCCCCCTGGACAAAACCCCCTCAGTTAAAGTGCATAATAGGTTTGGTTAGGCATTGTAGTCTTATAATTTAATAAATGTAATATTTTACATGTCAGAGAAGTGTTCATAAGCTGTAAATAATAAGAATAAAAATAATAATTACATTTTTGTAGTATTATTTGTTCTATGGGGGATTTTGTCCTGTACTGTTTATGTAGCGTTTTTACGAACCTGTAATTAGTCAGGGTACTCTAGGGTAAACAACACCGTGGCAACAACACGGTCATCCGAATCGTCACCGCCATTACCACCAGTAAATCCATTAGCGGTGGCGTTTGCAGCACTTGTGCCACTATCGTCACCAACAGCTACTTTCTTCCTTGGCATCGTTGCCACTATCATTCTAATTTGTTCCACTTGAATGTCACTGATTCACTTGTCTTCCCTTTCTAAACTATCATCGTGAATCACTTTCTCTCAATAATTATCACTAACTTTCTTACCTGTCTTTATTACGATCACTTCCCCCGTCATAACGATCCTAATTATCACCATCCACGTCCTCTTCTTTAATTAGCCCCTTCTTCCCTCCCAACATCTTGTTGACTTCGCCCATCCTCCATATAATGTACTATCTCCATCATCCCTTTCAACCTTCCCCAGCATATCACCACCTCCTGCATACTTCTACCTCCCCCTTCTATTACAACACCACCACCACCAACAACTCCTGCTCCTGCAGCACCATTACCTTCGCCTCCTCCAGTACCACCACCTCCTCCACCATTGCCAGTACCACCAACCCCACACCATCACCTCCTCCTCACCTTCATCATCATCATCATCATGGTGGCGAGGAGGGGCATTAATATCATGTGAGACGCCCCCGGACCAAGTGTGGGGCAGGTCTCACTGGCGCCTGCTTGCCTTTGTTACGAGGCGCCGCGAAGGAACAAGCTAAATATACCAAAATCCTTTATCTTCAGCTCACTTAAGACCCGTCCTGCCCCCCGTTCCCACAAGCAAGCCTCTTGTTGCATTAGCTGTTTTAAGGGGAACACAGAGCCTCGGTGTTCCTTATTTTATGTAGATGACTTTGTTTTGGAATCTGGAGGAGACATGTATGTGATTTTCTATCGGAGTGCGTGGCTTTTTTATGGATTACACACACACACACACACCAGGACGTTTAGGACGTTTAGGATGAGGTGCTCCGAGTTGTGGAGACAGTAAACCTTACGTCGAAGTCATCCATATATATATATATATATATATATATATATATATATATATATATATATATATATATATATATATATATATATATATATATATATATATATATATATATATATATAATTTTTTATTTTTTCATATTCATTTTTTAGGATTTTATAAATACATTAGAACAGTACCTGAATTTGAACCCACCAAGAACACTGTCGTCTCGAGTTTTGCGTCACATCTGGAGAACACTCATTAACAGTATTGTTTAACGGTAGTACCAGCCAATTAGACTCTTGGAAGCATTTGGTCCAGCATCCAATCACGGCCCTCCGGTAGACGTACCTTGACCAATCCGGTTGAGAAGTGGAACAGTAGCCGGGACGAAGGTTGCTAGACGTACATATCCTTGATCTTGCAGCCCCACTTAGATTCTTTAACCTGGAAATATCCGCATTC